GCAGGGTGAGTTCTCACTTCCTCTCTCTCCATCTCTGTCTCTCCAGCAAGTGCACACATTCTATGGCAATAATCTCTCTCAAAAAGAAAAAAAAAAAAAATGAAAGGTAGAATTCTTTCCAGAACAATATAACAGACTACATATTTAGAAATGTGGCCCAAGAGGAAAAAGTTGAGATTTTCTCTCAAACCAGTGTTTGTATGTTATCGTAGTTTCAGGATACCCAACAACTTTAGGTCAGAATTTTTTTTTTTTGAGAGGTTTTTGTTATAGAGCGCGTGAGCTCTCCAGAAAGAGAGAGAGACAGAGAGACAGAAAGCAAGAAATCACCCCCCAGGGGGGATGGTCACACCGCAATCCCTTCTCCTCCATTCTCCTCTCGGGATCTTGGGCACGCACGCACACATGCCTGGCTTGAGTTTAAGCCACCATGTCCGGGACACGGTCGACTACATGGGAGTTCAGTGACATAGCCACTACACTAACTGCTGGTCCCATAGGTAAGAATTTTCAATGGTTGTTTTCAAAAAGCTAAGTCAAAATAGGAAGATGGGAAAATATTTTCTGTAATAGAAATTATAAGTATGTGTAAAATACACATAGCAAGTATTCCTGTAACAAAATAAAACTGACAACAAACCAGGAAACTTAAGTTAAAAAATAACAGGCCTCTTTACTACAGAGTACATTAAAAATATACGGTAGCAGAACAAATACTAACATTGAAAGACAACCAGGGAACACTGCTAAGGTAAAGAGAAAATTATATATATTGCATGATGTAATTTAAATCATGTAGTGTGTGTGTGTGTGTGTGTGTGTGTGTGTGTGTGTGTAAACAATTCAGAACAGAAATCAAGCTTAGTTACTTAAGTCCTTGAAGTCCTTACTTATTTTGACTACTTGATTTACTGATCTCAGAGAAGCATGTTAGATGTCCACTATGACTGTGAATGCTTTGCATACTTCATAGCTGTTTCCCAGTACACAGAAGTTTATTAACTTTATTTTCTTGTGAACTATGCCTTTTACTTATGTGAAATACAATTCTCCCTTCCATTCTTTTCATTCGTAATGATATCAGATGATTAATACTGTTTCTGCTTTTTGTTAGCATTTGCTAACAGATTTTGCTTTCTATCTCCTTAGCATTAACTTAATGCTGCTTCGTGGTACAATATGCTTTTGTAGTACAAGTTTTATACATATACAGACTATGAAGCTCTATCTCAGAGAAATGTGAACCCTAATGATTACAGATGTACTGTATTTTATTTACTTCCCTTCCTTTCTTTCCTTCCTTTGGTTGGACTTTCCAAATATTTGCTGTTTTCCAGTCCCATTCCTAAAGATGGACACTGACCACCTTATTTTTATCCTTCTATCAGTTATCCTTGAGTTCTGTTGTTTTTCTCTTTATTTACAAGAGAGCACGCACACATGAGAATGAAAACGGGAGAGAGAGAAGCATCCTGGACAAAGAGAGAGAGACAGAGAGAGGAGCACTCTCCAGAGCCTGGTCATGCTGTGATCTCCTTCCTCCTGCCCACCAGCCTGTAAGATTCTGGACACTTAAGCATGTGCTTGGCATATACTGCAGGCTAAAGGCACTTATATTCTTCATTATAGTTTGATTTTGGTTTTCAATTATTAACCTCTGAAGGTATGTTTTTGTCATATTCATTTGAGAACCAAATTTGTTCAAAAATTTTCTTAGTTCAGATAAACACTAAGTGAAACTTTCCTAATATACAGTATTTATCATATAAACACCATTCAAACCAATATAACACATATTTCTTTATATTAAGTAGTTACGTAATTTTTAAATAACTCCTATTAGAGGCATGAATACTCACATGCTGTAAGAGGAACAACTCCCAACCATGCAAAGGCCACAAGTGTATAGTGAAACCAGTATCGTATTGCAGTGCCAATACTTGTAACCAGTCCAGCAAATATGTCTTGGATTGGAAGCCGTGAAGGCATATCTGGGGAATAAACTATAAGGGGAAAAAAAAGTACATAGGATTTTATGAGGATTTTTTTTTAATAGTTTAATTCTTAAATATAAAACAGGCATACAGAAGCAATCTCTATTTTATTTGTATTTCACGTCATTTTTTTTCTGCAGAAAGGTAAATCAAACAATTATACACTTATCTAAGAAGTCATTTATAAAACAAATCACATGTGCAATACTAAAATTAAAAAAAAAAAAAAAAGGCCTCTGAACAGGACAAAGAAGTCAACAGAAGTTCACATTCCCTGGGGCCAGCAGGTGACATGGCGGTTAAGTGGCTGGACTCCCACGTGACTGACTGTGGTTTGAGTACCAAACTTTCTCAATTTCTCTCTGTCTCTTTGGTAAGTGCGCACGCCCTATAGCAAATTTAAAAATAATAATAAATAATTTTTAAAAGATGCTTGCATCCCCAATTCACAAACATTAACTTTGTGCACACTAACTTACACATATTTCAGCATTCAAGCAATAAAATTAACTGATTTCCCGAACTATAAAAGTTCAGACAAACCAAACAGGAATAACTGATGAAACTAATGGCATGTTGTCAAGAAAAAACTCTCTGGGCCAGCCAAAGGAGTGGCAATTAAGGGGGCTGAATCCCATGTGGCTAACTGCACAATTTGAGTCCTAGACCCAATGGCAGGAAAAATATGCCACGTGTATATATATCCAAAATCCTGAGAGAAGAACAGAGAAGGGACCAAGGTATGATTATCCCCCCTGGGAGTGATTTCTCACTTTCTCTCACTCTCTCTCATGCAAACAAATGTGCCCTGTGGCAAAAACTTTAAACCAAAAAAAAAGTAACAAAAGGTGAGGAGGGGGAAAAATAGCCCACAAAATAAATCTCTCTGGCTGGCTGTCATGTCTCTTTCTCACTCGTACACACACATGCATGCACGCATGCATGCACGCATACAAACTACATACATATGTATGTGTATTAAAAGATGGTACGGAGCTTTTCTTTTTTGGAGAGATTTTTGCTATATGACATGTGCACTCGCCAGAGAGACAGAGACAAAGAGTGAGAAATCACCCCCCAGGGGGATGACCACACTGCAATCCCTTCTCTTCCATTTTCCTCTTGGGATTTTGGGCATGCACGCACATATGCCCAGCATGAGTCTCAAGCCTCTAGGTCCAGGACTCGAACTGCAGATGGCTATGTGAGAGTCCAGCAATGTAACCATTACACCATCTGCTGGTCCCAAAAGATGGCGCGTAGTTTTAAAAATATCTTCCTAGGGGCCAGCAGGTGGTGTGATGGTTAAAGGTGCTGGAGTCTCACATGGCTGACCAGTTCGAGTCCCGGATCTGGCGGCTTGCTTTCTTATTTTCTTTTTCTCTCTCTCCCCCAACTTTCTCTCTTTCTCATTCTCACTCTGCCCCTCTATAGTCAAACTGAAATAAACAAATGAATAAATAAGGTTAAATAAAATAATCCTTAAAAAAAATCTTCTTAAATGGAATAGCAATACTTATTACTATAAAAGACAATCAAGGTGAAAATAGTTACCTACTTAAATACTTTTATGCTGCTGGTGATAATCAAAACAAACAAACAAAAGGCAATGGAAACTTATAAAGAACTTACTTGGTGTGAAAGCAAATCTGTGCTTGCATAATTCACAGTATTCTTTTCGACTGTGTTTCAGCCACTGAACTAAGCTGTAATTACAAATACATTCGTAAGTACAGTGTTTTCCACAAAGAAACATTAGTAAGTTCCATTAGAAAATAATGTTGTTTTTTACTAAAACTTTATTACATACCTTTTACAATTTTGACACTTTCAAATTTAGAACATTCTTAACTTTTTATAACTACATTATAACAGGTAAAGATAAAAACTGTCTGTATTTCTACTATTAAAAGCATGAACGGGACCAGCAGTTGGCATAATGGCTATGTCACTGGACTCCCATGTAGTCCACCACAGTTCGAGTCCCGGGCTTGGTGGCTTAAACTCACACCTGGAGGATGTGCATGCGTGACCAAGATCCCGTGAGGAGAATGGAGGAGAAGGGACTGTGGTGTGGCCATCCCCCATAGGGGGTGATTTATCACTTTCTGTCTCTCTGTTTCTCTCTGTCTTTCTGCAAACACACGCACCCTATAGCAAAAAACTCTCCAAAAAAGAAAAAAAAGAAATACTGGTTTCCTTGATCAAAAATGAAGATTTTTCTGCTGAGAATTTTCCCTCCAGGCTCCTTTCTAGTGGGTAGAGATAGCTCTGTGTCTTTCTCCCCCATTTCTGCCTCTCTCTCTTCTTAAAAAAAAAAGATGTGAAGCCAGCTGGTGGCATGGTGATTAGGTGACTGGATCCTATACATGGCTGACTGCATGGTGACTCAAAACCAGGGGCCTGAAGAACATGCCAGATGCCATGTGTGTGTATATTCCTAAAGTCCCAAGAGGATAATGAAGGAAAAGAGACTGTTGCATGGCAACACCTGCCAAGAGGTGATTTCTCATTTCTCAGTCTCTCTGGCAAGTACACATGCATTATAGTAAACTAAAAACAAAACAAAACAAACAAAAAAAAGCTTGGCCCAGCCACAGGGCATCTCTCTGCAATGCTGGAGCCCATGGAAGGCTCTGACTGGTTCCCTGGAAACACACAGAGTATCACACACCTATGATCCTGGCTGGCTAGAGGGCTGGGTGAAGGGTTGCAACACAATGAGACCCTCTCAAGGGTATCTGTCTACCACCCCCAGTGAAAAAAATTAAATTTTTTTCAACTTAAAAAAAAAAGCTCAGAGGGGACCAGCAGTTA